TCATTGCTGTCATGGAGAAGTGATTTGCTGATTCATCTTGAAATGGGGGAATTTTCAGTTTTTCTGTTGTACAGATTTCTGTCTGTTTCCAGAAGAAGTTTTATTCTTTTAGAAAAAAATTGAATTTTATTTAACATGTGTGACTATTTTTCCCTGCCTTATTCTAATAAGAAATGTTACATCTTGATTCCAATACAGAGGAAGGGAGCTGGGGAACCATACAGTTTTCTGAACGATTCTCCATTCTGAATATGAAATAGCATGATCTGCAAACAATTCACTGGCTTCCTTTGAGACAAACTATAGAGAAAAAAAAGTGTATCTTTTATTTAAGCCTTTCAAATTCTTTGTAATACTTCACACAAGATCGGGTGCGTTCCGGGTGGTGTGGCCACAATATTTCAAAAAACAAATCTCAAGCAGGAAATTTAAGTCTGTTTGACACCTCGTTGATATGTGGCCAGAGAATTGAGCTTGCGCCTATTTTTAAATTATTTTTTAGTACCAAAGCGTGTGATTTCTAGTAAGTCTCCAGATGCTTTTAAATGGATTCTTTCTGTTTAGATCCAGGGTTCCCGTCTTCCCGAGTCCTGCCCTGGTCAGGCGACTGAATCTCTGGATTTGAGGAGCGGACAGAGAAAGAGCTAAAACCCGCCCACTCTCAGTCACCACCAGGGGACAGCTCCCAGGCACACCACAATATCTTGCAATTGGTCACAAAACTTGTGGATGGACACCCAGTGGTGCCTCTGTTCAAAAGGCTATTTTCTGGAGGAGATGGGTTTATTTTCAAATGTAAGCCAACAGAAACACTGGATACGTCCAAATCCCTTGATTCATTCCTTTAGTCAATATGTTTTGGGCCAGGCAAGTTTCGAGTTGGCACTCAGGACAAAGGTCAACAAAGCAGGTGTCCCCTCTGTCCTTGTGGAAGTGCCGGTAGGGGAGATCGAGACTAAGCAAGACAGTACAGGGACAACTAGTTACACACCTCATCATGATCAGTGACATGACAGACAGAAAAGCTGACGGGGCTCGTGACAGAGAGACATAACCTAGACTGGGGCCTTGTGGGATTATTTACCAAGATTCTCTTCATTTTTCTCCTGGGGTATGAAAGGGCGAGTTATCATTTCTAGAATAATTACATAATTACATAATTACATAATGGAACAGGCAAGAGGTCTCATAGATGTGCGAGTATCAACAGAACGTGGATATTCAGTCAGGGAGTAGTTAAGCCTGTTGCAGCACGTACGGTACACAACGACATTGGACAGCCTTAGAAACGATCCTGAAGAAGAGTTTATTTCACAAAGTCCATGTCCTCTAACATGAATTGGGAAAAGCTGCAGATATAGGAATAAACAAATACTCTGTATGCCTAGCAAGTATATGAAAATTACATTAAAATGTTTCCCAATTATATTTTTATAAAAAAGTATTACAAGTATTTATATAAAACAGTTTACAGAATACATCTAGAAGAAACATCTGTGTAACCACAACTAGATTGAATAAAATGTTTCTAGCACCCAAGACCCACCCCATCCATGAAGCATGTATCGTGATCCTCTCACTGTCTCTCAGTGGTGAACACTTTAGGATGTATTAGGAGGTATATGATAATCATTTTCCTTATATGTGCAGTTTATCTATATATATGTGTGTGTATGTCTATTATATAATATATATGTGTACATATATAGAGATATGTATGTAGTATTAGTAACTGCATTATTCTTAATATAGTATAGCACAAGTCTATGCTAAATGAGACTTTTCTACAAATTCATGGAAAAATGAAATGAAAAGATAAGTCTATTTTAGTGTCAAGAAATTGTTGAAATCCACGCAGTGTTTTTCATAGTACATATTTAACGTGCACTTTGTGAACACCCTTCCTATATAAAATGCTTTTCTTTTTTTTAGTCAGTATGTTTGCGTATTTCCTTCACTGTACATGGCTGTGGTTTACTCACTTCGTTGCTTTGGTGTTTATTTGTATGAATAAGTACAGCCAGTTTATTCATGCATTCTGCTAGGGGCCAGCATTGGACTCGTGTCTAGCTTGGTGCTATGGTAAAATCCATGTGCGTGCACATAGTACACAGAGCATGGAGCGCCTTTAAGCTGCTAATCTCAAGTGGACTTGCTGGATCGTAGGACAAGCTGGTTGTTCACTGCTTCTTTCCATCCCTGATGCGTTCTTTGTTTTTTCTCTGCCTTGCTCTGTTTGCTTGAGAACCACATCATCGGACTCCACTGCCCCCGGCTTTCCCTTACGTTTAGGAAGGAAGAGGTTGTGAGATTGAGGGGTGGGAGAGGAGAGAATCTGGAAGGTGTGCTGGCTTCCCCGCAGTGCTGGCGGCAGCTGCCCTGCGTTCCTCCATAGCTTCTAGCTCTTACAAGGCTCTGATCATTTTTTCCCTCTTCTGAGCACATCAGACTGAACCCTGAGAAAGAAAATCTGTGGATGCTCTTCAGTGGCTTCCCATTCTGTGTGTGTGTGTATATTTGTTTTAAGATTTATTTTATTTTATTTGGAAGGCAGAGTGACGCAGAGGGAGGGACGAGACACAGCTGGGGAATGGAGGAGTGATCTTCCATCTGCTGGTTCACTCCCTAAATGACTACAGTGGGTGGGGCCGGTCCAGGGTAGCAGGAGCCCAATTTCTTGGGTGCATTAGCAGGAAACTGGAGGAAAAGTGGAGCTGCCAGGACTTGAACTGACAGTTATGGACAGCTTAACCCGTTGTGCCACAGCACCAGCCTGGCCTTGTGGATTTTTAAGCTTGCTTACACCTTCATAAACAATCTCTTTAATAAGTTCCCTTCCTTCATCTTGTTTTGAGCATCTTACCTCTTTTCTCCCACTTCAGGTGTCTAATTCAGTAACTCTTAGTTCATTCACACAGTTGTACATCCATCACCACAATGGATTTTAGAATGTTTTCATTATCTCAGAAACCTGCCAGCCCTTCATTGTTCCTACCAGTTGTCCCGCAGCCCTGCGGAGCTGGTAAATCACTACTGTCCTTCATCTTTGTAGACATCTGGAATCCTTTTCTAAATATCATACAGAAGACGAATCATACAGTGCATGATTCCTTGTGACTGAATTCTTGCAGTTAGCTTCATGTGTTGAGGTTCATCTGTTCATATATTTTTTGTTTCCTGTTCAGTTGTACGGATTTATATTAAATGGCTAACTCACATTTTCTTTATCTGTTGATCAGATGAACGTTTGGGCTGTTGCCACCTTCAGGCTACAGTAGTGACCCGAGCCGCCACGGACACTCGTGCACAGGCTCTTTTGTAGGTCTCAATTTTCACTTCTCTCAGGTGTCTTTTCCTTGCTGATTCCTAGGAGTTCCTGAAATATTCTGGCTGTTAGTCCTTTGTCAGTCCTCTGGCTGGTGGCTTCTCCCTTTGCGCTCTTTTTTGCTGGCCTTACATGGACATAGGTTTCTTTTCCAACATCGGCTTCAGAGCTGAGAGGCGGAGATATATAGAGAGAGGGACAGGGAACAGAGCGCGCCCATCTCTTGCTTCACTGGGTGGTGGCTGGGGCCAGGCCAGGAGCTCAGGCCAGGTCGCCCGCGGGGACGGCAGGCACGGTTACTGCACCATCAGACCTGCTGCCTCTAGGACGTGCACCAGCAGGAAGCTGGAGTCAGACGCCACAGCTGCATCTCACACCCAACCACTCTGGTACGAGCAGTGGGAGCCTCAACCAGCAACGTTACCACTGAGCTAAGTGCCTGCCTCACACCGATGCTCCTGTTTGTGAAGGATTTCAATTGATTGACATTTTTCCTTTACGGTTTGTGTTTTTTTGGTGTCTCATTGGAAAGCTTCCCTGTTCAGGGTAACAAAGATGTTCTCCTGCATGTTTCCTATAATTTGTATTGTTTAGATTTTGGAAATAGATCTGCAGTCCACCAAGATTATTTTTATGATAATGATAGAATATAAAGCTCTTTGAAAAAAAAGATTCTGCTTCTTTTGTTACATGGCCATCCGGTTACCCTATCACCACATATTTAAAAATTCACTTTCCTGGGGCCAGCACTGTGGTTTAGTAAGTAAAGCCACCGCCTCTGGAGCTGACATCTCAAATGGGCGCCAGTTCAGGACCTGGCTGCTCCACATCCTGTCAGCTCCTTGTTAATGTGTCTGGGAAAGCAATGAAAACTGGCTGAAGTGCTGGTGGCCCTGCGCCCACATGAAACACCTGGAAGAAATCCGTGGCTCCAGACTGGCCTTGCTCCAGCAGTTATGGCCATCTGGGGAGTGAACCAGTAGATGGACAATCTCTCTCTGTGTCTTATCTCTCTCTCTAGCTCTGTTTCAAATAAATATTTTTTTTAATTAAGGGCCCAGTGCGGTAGCCTAGTGGCTAAAATCCTCACCTTGCACATATGGAATACCATATGGGCGCCAGTTCTAATCCAGGCTGCTCCACTTCCCATCCAGCTCCCTGCTTGTGACCTAGGAAAGCAGTGGCGGACGGCCCAAAGCCTGCGTCTGTGTGGGAGACATAGAGGAAACTTCTGGCTCCTGGCTTCAGATCGGTTCAACTCAGGTTGTTACGGCTGCTTAGGGAGTGGGCCAGCGGGTAGAAGATCTTTTTCTTTGTATTTCCTTCTCTGTATATCTACCTTTCCAATAAAAATAATTAAATCTTTAAAAAAAAGTTTAAAAATGAAAATTCACTTTCCTTGATTGATCTGCAGTGCAGTCTTTATTATAAGCTTCCATGTGTGCACAAATCTAATATAATAATAGAATCTTAAATTGATCCCAGAGTGATGGGTTTTATTCTTTTTACGTGTTTGTATTTTTTTATATTTGTATTTTTAAATAATAATTTATACAATTAGGAAAAAATTTTTCCACTAGAGAAAAGTTTAAGATCGAGATAGCAAAAGACACTTAGGAACCTGAAGACTCTGGAGGAAGACTTGCCATTGCTGTCCCTTCCGCCTTAGGTCCCATTGCTGTCACCTGTGGCAAATAGCTGTGCACCTGCTCAACTGCGGCATCCAACAGAGACAGAAGCTTCTGCCCGGGTCTTCAAGAAACGCACACGCTGTTCTCCACATTTCCGTCCACTAGAGCCGCGCGTACGCTCGGGACTTTGCCCTGATCCGGGTCCAGACGCTAGGACTCCGCGGTGGAGTGGCCTGTTGGTGAGACATACAGATGCTTCTCTCTCAGTACCTTGTTTCTGCTGGTCTTGAATCTACCAGGCCTTCTTGTCTCCCCATCCCCCTTCTTCATCAGTTCTCACACCAGTGTTCCAGCTACTCCGGGAGCTGTCCTCCTCACCAGGAGTGCGGGGATCTTTCTGGGGGCTCTTCACAGGCCCCCAAGATGAGGGGGTGGCCGTGGTGTCAGATGGCCTTGCTGTAAATCTCAGGCCTATCAGTTACTAGCTGTGTACCCTTGGAGAAGTTATGTCATGAACCAGTCTCTTCATAGGGTTTCCAAGTCTGTGAAATGACGATAGGAGGGAAGATTAAGTGAATTACTTGTATACATTTCTGAGTAGTGGCTGGTACATGATAAATTCTTGATATATGTTAGCTATCGTGATGCTAATTATATGAAATGTGAAAATTGTAGCCCCTCACTGTCATGGAAGAAATATGGATTTAGGTTCATGGAGTAGCCAAGAGTTTATTTCTTGAAAAGGCAAAGGGAAGTAGTTGCAATGGTCATTGCTGCGGCTGCTGTACATTCTCGTTAGGATTCGCTCTCCTCCCTTCTTCCTCAGCCCCCAATCGTCTGAAGTCTACTTGGACGTTGAAGAGGGCGGAGAAATGGAAGCAATTCTAGTGTTTTACATCAGGGTCAACAGGATGCTCACCCTGAAGGGACAAGCCTAGGGTAGACGCCTACAGGAACTCATGGAAGCCGGGGCTGGGCAGAGGGGCCTGCAACTCCCGCAGGCTGAATGCCAGGGAGGCAGGGGGCGGGAATTCTAATTCCCTTGCATTATTAGAGAATGAGACCCTGAAACCGCCTCCCTCTTGTTGGCTGCTGAGCTAGGAACTGTGCATCCTGCCCGCACCTCCTCCCTGCTGTTTGCTGGCTTGGCAGCATTCCTTACGGACAGGCCACAGGGCCAGCTTTGGATTCTGTATTTGCTTTGGCTTGGTGGCTTGCCGCTTACTTCCTGTTAACATTCCTCTATCTCTCACCACCCCATTCCTCCCCACCAGATTATGGGTCTCTCTCAGTACCACCTGTTCCTTCTCTCCCCTGTGCCCATAGCCACAGCCCTCTGATTTCTCCATCAGCTGCTTGGCTCTTGATTGAGACTCAAATCTAACTTCTGTATAAATATTTCCCAACTAAACTTGTTGTTTGGAGCAGATAGTATTTCCCTGTGGTGGACCTTTATGGGGACAGAAGGGGGTCATCAGCAGTGGAACTGGAAAAATCAAATTACTCTGTCCAAGTGACATTCACATGAGCCCAGAAAAAAATGCCATTCTTCTCATGGATTTTTGCCCCCAAATCCTCAGGCCCAGTGAAGAAGTAATTATGGCCAGAGAGGCCAGTACTGGACTTGAGGCCAGAAAGGGCCTTGTAGTGGACAGAGGCGCTCCTGTGGCACACATAGCTCTGTATTCTCTCACTCGCATCCTCCTGAGTCTTTTTAACCCAAGGCACCTAGAAAGGCGGCCAGGCCAGGCCCTGGTCCGAACACTGAAGTGCCACACCCCACTTGTGGCATGACATGTTCTGGCTCCTCACAAGTGGCTCAGGCGTTCATCTCTCCCAGGGAAGTTCAGATCAGATCTTTCTGTCTGGCCACCTCCACCTCTTTTCTATTTCCCACAGATTTGGGAGCTCTATGGGGAAATACACGTATGTCTCTGAAGTGTCCCCTTCCGTCAACGTCAGTTCAGCGGGACATCTCTTCCTAGAACACTTCGCAAGATGGATCAGCGCTGTGGCGTGTTTAGGACATAAGGCCTGAATTCCAGTGTAGCATGTATGAGCTATGGAACCTTAAGCACTTTCCTTAAAATCATACCACCTGCATCTTCACTAGTGAAATGGAGTAAGAATTAACAACACCAAGATTACCAACAAATAATAACATAGGAGGCCACCCTGGAAAACGTTCCAGTGGTCCTGAAGCAGGGCAAGCATTAGTGTCAGGGAGAAGTGGTCCCTTCTTTGCCACTTCCAGGAAAGATGCATAGTCCAGGAGAAAGCATCGTAGGTGGCGCAGCCAGGAAAGTGACTGTGTGCGTAGACTCGGGGCACTGTGAGTAAAGAGCGGGGCTGTGATTGGCATTTGGTTTTTGAAAGTGAAGGGTCCCTCAGCTGAGATGACATAGACAGGAGATAGGGAAGTAGAGCAGGTGCTTCCTGAATCCCTGGTGTTTTGGTCTGGATTGCCGTCCTTGGAAAAGCCTGTTGGAAGGGATGTGGCTCCCAGCATGCACAAAGGCTGCCTAGGGTGCTAGGTCAACATTTTCATTGAAAAGGGGGCTGCAAGTGGAGTCTCCAGCAGCAAGCAAGTGCAGTGCCCACCGCAGCCAGAAAGAATGAGACCCCTTGGTAGATGGAGCCAGATTTGGGCTTTCATGGCTTAAGCCAGCACTCAGGTGGCCTGGCCCTTTGAACTGAAGGAGACCTTCTGGTTGGGGTCCTGGAGCGCTCACACGGACATACCGTAGGCACTGAGGCATTCGGCACGCACTTGGAGAGAATGTGACTCTATTCTGTATTCCAAGCTGGTGAATCAGCTACATTTGTGAAGTGGTGAGCCGGCTGCCTGGCCCATCTTAAGGATTGCAGGAATGGTGCTTATTACGGTTCTTGAGCACATTGCTGCAGTGGCCAGAGGACAGAGCAGGGCTCTCTGGCAGCCCGGTCTCCCCCAGGGGCGGGCGGTGTCCTAAGAACTGGGAGAAGAGAGCGAAATCCTTTAGTAGTCCCATACACCCAGTTCCTCCAAGGGATCTCCCGTCCGGAAGACTGACCCAATGTACAGGGCTCTTCTCCCGAGACCCTTTGGTTCCAGATACAGCGTCCTTTCTGTTGGCCAGCTGCGGCAGGAAGGGAGGGGAGGGCGTGCCTGCGGCCCAGTGCTTGCCCAGAGAGGGAGCTTGGAGCACTAACTCATCTCCCCCAGCGCTCCCCGTGGGGCAGAGGGCTGTGAGAAAGGGCGGCGGCCCTCCTTGGAACGCACAGCAGCCATGGGCTCATCGGGGTTGTTTATCACCTTCCATCTAGGGGATAACATGACAACGCTTTACATACTGGAACATTCTTTCTAGCCTTACAAAATCTGGGCCTGGGAATTAGCCGAAGGGCTTTTTGAACTTCAGCATCATTTTTTTTTTTTCAAGGGGCTTCGTGTGGACCCTTCAATCAGGTTGTGGCAGAGGCCCTGCCACATTAGCCACTGCTGTTTGCAGGCTTCGTGCTCCTCATTCCTGCCATGAATAAACCTGTGAATAAAAACAACTCAGCCATACACAGTATGGATCTGGCTTCTCTTGTGTTCCTGACAAGAGCGGAGCGATGCATCCAGGGAGTGGTTGACACACCTTGAGGACTAGGTATACATGCGACCCTGTGCATGGAATTGGCAACCCCTCTTTGGTAATGGACAAAATGAAACTGTGAGAATTTAGATTGATTATTCATCTCTCAGCACATTTTTGGAAGTCTGTTCTGGTCCATCAAACACTCAAAATTCCACTTTTATGCCTCATAAGTAGATCTCATAGCATGACCGTGAGCACATCATTGCCTCCCCACCGGGGATGTTCCCACTGGTTCTTCTCCCCACTTTACTTTCTTTTTTTAAAGATTTATTTTATTTTTATTGGAAAGGCGGATATACAGAGAGGAGGAGAGACAGAGAGAAAGATCTTCTGTCCAATGATTCACTCCCCAAGTGAGCGCAACGGGCAGTACTGTGCTGATCCGAAGCCAGGAGCCAGGAGCTCTTCCGGGTTTCCCATGCAGGTGCAGGGTCCCAAGACTTTGGCCCATCCTCGACTGATTTCCCAGGCCACAGACAGGGAGCTGGATGGGAAGCTGGGCCGCCAGGATTGGAACCGGCGCCCATATGGGATCCTGGGGCGTGCAGGCAAGGACTTTAACCACTATGCTATTGCGCCGGGCCCCATCCCTGCTTTTCAGCACTCCACTCAGCTTCCCTTCATTCTGCTCCGAACCAATGACCTCTCCCTCCTTTCAACTTTGTACAAAAATTGCAATTTAGCCCCCACATAATTTAGCTCTTGCTCTTAAATAGTTCTTAAGCATTGAGGTTTAGTGGATTTGGAACTTGTGACAGAGAGAGTCAGACTGTTTGCCTGTCTTCCATTTGATCACATTGACGCTGACATGGGTACCAGATTTTTCAGTTCTCAGCCCCTTTCTGTGTTACCGGGGTCATGCAGGTAATTCTAGACAATGAAATCGTGACTTGTGTCGCCTCTGGGCAGTGGCCTTCACAGTAACTAATGTGCCATCCTCACTCACCCTTCCTCTTCTTCGATGGTTGTGGGTTCCACACATTAGAACCTACAGCACCTCAAGATCGAATGGGCTGGGATTCCTGCTTTCCCACATGGAGAATAAATTTCCAGACGATTCCAGCCAACTAAGAACAACTGTATAAAACTCTGGGCCAAAAATAAGCTTTGATTAGGCTAAACCATTGAGATTTTCCCTGATCAAATTGATCTGTTATAGTATTCAATCTGCTATCTGCTTCCTACTAACTGTGTGATATTTATATTATTTGTTCATCTGGATCTTGATCAAGGGATGGATAGCACCCAGCTTTGCAGGGTAATTGTGAGGAATAAGTAAGATATTTCCAAAATGGTTGAGTTAATGTAAAACCCAAGTTTTTTTTATATATATATATAGTTGTGTGTGTGTTTGTGTGTGTGCATGTATGCACACTCCGTGCAATGACTTCATATATGTTAATCTTGTCACTAGATGGTAAATTCTTTGGGTCACAGATCAATGTTTTTGACCTTCTGCATGCTTCACAAAGACTAACATTGTGCAAGGCACATAGAAGATTTTCTTAAATACTAATAAACATAAGACCCTCTTGATTCAAAACACCAGCAAGGGGCTTGGACTATGGCATAGGAGGGGCTAAGCTGCCACCTCAGATGCTGGCATCCCATGTGAGCACTGTTTGGGGTCCCAGACCCAGCTCCCTGCTAGTGGCCTGGGAAAGCAGCAGAAGATGGCCGAGGCAGTTGGGCCACTGTTACTCATGTCAGAGATCCCAAGGAAGACCCTGGCTCCAGACTCTGGCTCCTGGCTTTGCTTTGCCCTTCCCCTGGCTCTTGCAGCCATTTGGCAAGGGAACCAGAAGGTGGAATATCTCACTGTCTCTCCCTCTCTTTGTAACTCTTTCAAATAATAGGATAAATAAATCTGTTTTAAAAAACAGCAGAATCAACTTCCCATGCTACTTCTTTAGACATCCCTGTGTTCTCTTCCACTGGCCCAGTTCTGCCCTGGGTTTCCCACTGACCCACCCTTGAAGTGGCTCTCTTGTGCATACTTGCTGTTTGGTGTATGAGTAAATGGGTGTATCTGTTTGGATAAAAGTGCTCTTGTGGTTTGTGACAAATGCAACAGAGGCCAGATAGGGAAGGGAGAGGGCGGATGGATGATTGAGCCTTGTGGAAATAGATGGTGAGAACACCATGACAGAGGTGGCCTTGTTTGATATTCTAGTAAACCAGCTGCGGACATGAGCTGTGTGATGCAACCTCTGAATTGGAAGACATTGCCTAGAGGTCCTGCCCAAGATAAAATATCAAGTTGATGAGGATCAGCTGTATCATCAGATTGGTATGTGGAGATTTGGGAAATTGTGTCAATGTGTTTTTACAGAGAGGCTGCATATTTAAAGAATAAGAAGGAAGGAATGGTGGATTATCTGGGGTTACGTAAGCCAACACAGTTGAGCTAATCTCAAAAGGAAATCAGGTTCTGCCCTGCACTATGGAAGGGACAGTTGAAGTCCCTTTTATGTCCCTGAGTTTTTACACTCCCTTTGTGTATTAATATATCTCCTCATCCTCTGGCGAAAGCTTTCAAAGAAAAGCAAGGCAATATTGACGTGTATTCTGTTGATAGTACACAGAGAAAAAATGGCCAATGAATAAGAAGCCAAAGTTGTCTGCATGTGGGCCCATTCCAGAAAGGTTTTTGAGACATGAGCTTCAATCTAAAAGGGGACATATACACACTGCACACGTCTGCCTGCACCCTCACATTCACCAGCAGGACAGGGAACATTGACATTTGTAGTAAAGCATTTTAACAGTTGTATGTCTGGAGCAGTTTTTTTTAGGGGAGTGTCAATTCCAGAAATGACATATTTGCAATGAGTAGGCATTTCAGTATTTTACTGAAACGTGTGGTCTCTGAACATGTTTGAGCAGCAGACACAGAGACAGAATAAAAAAGCTTCCTTTTGCTGGTTCATTCCCCAAGTTCCTACAACTGGTGAGGCAGGACCAGGATGAAGCTGGGATCCAGAAACTCAATTCAGGTCTTCCGTGTGGGTGGCAAGAATCCAAGTACTTGAGCCATCACAGCTGTCTCCCAAGATCTTCATTAGCAAGAAACTGGAGTTGGGAGCCAGAGGCAAGGATCAAATCCAAGTACTCCTATACAGGAGGCAGCCGTCTTAGCCAGCATTTTAACTGCTAAGCTAAATGCCCACCCACTTTGAACACGTTTTGTGAGGGATGATGAGTGGAGGCAGGCTGCAAAGTGTGAATCAGTCACAAAACAGAAACCACAAAGCCACGGCCCCCAGGCATCACTCACTGCTCTCAGTGTGGTCCGAAGCTGCACCCAGCATGGGGAACAGGAGGGCAAGGCTAGCGAGGCACTCTTGGAGGGCACACCAAACAGCCCCAGTTACCATGACAAATAATACTGTAAGGCAGTATTTTAGAATTGCAAACTGCCAACTATGGGCTGGCCGCCTCTTTTTCTAAATCAAGGTTTATTAGAGCGGTTTGAGCACCACATGGCTGTTTGATAGAAACACAGAATCTTGGGCCTACCCCAGCCCTTCGGGCTCAGAAACCTGTGTTTTAACAGCTGATAGGTACAGCCATCGTGAAGCCTGGGGAGCGTGGCTCTGGGACACTTTCAGGCAGGCTAGACTGACATGTGGCTGCTCCATGCAGACTAATAATTGATGCCTTCAAGTAGACAGCCTTTATACATGTATTATTTTTCATTTATTTATTATGGACAGAAAGAAAGTGAAATGGATCTCTTCGTATTCAACTTAGGAAATTTATTACTTATGTTGGCGGCAATATATTAGAATAGTTTTATATTTCACCTCCGTTCTATCATCTCTAATTGCATCTATAATTAGCTCCTCACTCCTGAGGTACACAGAAAAGTAATTGAGCATTTTTGATTTCACCATTTAACATTCTTTTTCTGACTTTCACATTAGCCATTAAGTTTTCTGTAGTTCTTGTTTTGTCTTGGACTTTCATCATTAGAAAAATTCCTGCAAGCCTTGTGGAAAGCCTGGCTTTTAGGTAACTGAATCCATCCCTCTACCATGCTGTCATTTCTGCAGTTCAACACCGAGACTTGAGCCTCCAAGTGGGTCAGTGGGCTGGTTGGTGGTGCAGCCCCATGGCCCAGGATAAAACATGGACATTCATCCCAGAAACCGATGGTGCCTTGACGAGAGTAATTCCTGTCACCTGCTGCAAAAGAATAAATTCGTGTTTCTCATTAAGTAAGTAGTTTTATGGGACAACTGGAGTGCAATAGAATCTGTTTCTAACTTAGAGAATTTTAAGAAGTCTCCCCAACGTTCTGTTATTATAAGATTTCACATTGATGATATCCATTCCCTCTGGGAGCCACTCAGGATGGAGGCGAGCCCTGCCACCTTCCTCCGAGGCTAGCATGAGTGGCGAGTTGTCATTGGTTCGTGAACCTAGACAACCACCACCGCAGGCATGCCTCACTGCCGCTGCTTTGTTCTCTGCGGTGCCATACCATGAACTCCCATGAAAACATGGCAGTTTTCAGATCAGAAAAGCCCACCCCTCTTGTTATTATGTGATAATAAAAGCAACAGTGAGATAAGTGCTGATCCAAATTGCTAGGTAGATTTTTCCAGAACACCTTCAAGGACTAACATTCAAACGGTCCCAAGATCTAGGGCGGTAGGTCTCAACCATACCTGCAAACTGAAGTCACCTAGAGAAGTGTTTTAAAAATGATAACATTTGAATCTCAAAATTGGATTTGGACCTAACTAGTCTGACATGTGCTTTTTTTTTTTAGTTTTTATTTTAGATGATGTTTACATAGTTGATCAGCATGGGAAGGATTGAATGTCAGAAAAAAGTGGTTGTGATCATTGTTTCCAAGTTTTTCATTTCTTTCTCCTGTATCTGGGGGGAGGGGAAGACAAGGTGAGAAGGCACACCCAGCCCCCAGGTACCCCAGTACTCGGCAATGGGGAACAGTGATCCAGTATTGACTCAGGGTCCCAGTGTGGAGCACACTCTGAGGGTTCTGTCCAGGGGGTTTCAGCAGTTCTGAAATGTTGTTGATCTCACTGACCCAAGGATCAAGGAACACTTCCAGTGCCCATTGGCTGACACAGTGTACCTCAAAGTCTCCATTCGCCCAGATATTCACCGTCACCATTGGGCTGGGGTGGTCTGACATGTGCTTTGACCTGGGATTTTTTTGTTTAAGTTCCCTAAGTGGTCCTAATGTGCAACCAAGGTTGAAAGCCATTGATGTGGCTTCTTTGTAATTAAATCAATTTTTAGATTGTGACTGTTATCTATCTGTCTATGTCAGGGTAGTAAATGGTAGTTGTTGAGGCAAAAAAAAAAAAAATCCCAAATATCCATGGTTTATTGAGATGAAGCTTATGTCTTGTGAGTGTGCGTGCTGGCCTGTGATTGTTTCTCCAGTTAGAGTGGGAGATGACATGCACTTCTTCTCCTAACATCCCGTTGGTTATAGTCCCATCGCAGAGCCCCAGTGCAAGTGCAAGCTGAAAATGTTTATAGCTCTCTGAGAAGGAGGAGTAAGTACTTTCATTATCAACATCCAAAATTAACTTTGTGTATTATATTTCTTTTACGTCTGTAGAATCAGTAACACTATGAAGGACCTTTCAGTTACAGGTTTTAATAAGAATTAGCTTGTAGCCATTGAGTAGAGGCACAATGGACGGCATAGTTCTGTTTTCATCCAAGCAGTCCTGCTCGTGTGTTATATTGAAGTTCAGGATAATTTTCACCTAATGTTTAAAAATGTATTGATTTTACATATGAGAAGGAGAGAGAGAAAGATGAGAGAGAAAGAGAGAGGATTCACACTTGCTGGTTCTCTCCCATGAAGTTCACAATGGCTGGGGCTGGACCAGGCCGAAGCTGAGAGCTAGGAACTCTGGGTGTTCCAGCTGGGTGACAGAACCAACTGCTGGCGTCATCACCACTGCCTTCTAGGGTGTGCATGAGTAGGAAGCTGGAATTCAAATCCAGGCATGCTGATACGGACATCCCAAGCAGTGTCTTAATTGCTAGGCCAAATACCTGTCCCAGAGCTAAGTTTCACTTAAACTTCGGAATGTAATTGTAGAAATGAGTGTGTAGTTGAAAGTCATCCCATTCTGTGCATATCGCCATAGCATTATTTGGGGAATATATCTTAGAATGGTGCATCTAATCCTGGTGATGAATAAGGTATAAACATGAGGGCATGAGACATCTAAACCTTGTGGATCTGAGGGTCATACCCCTGTCATTCCCTTAAACAGTCTGCAAAGTCTAACCCCACCCCACCAAGGATGCCACTAGGAGCTGTTGTGCCACTGATTCTAACATTCCTTTGGACTAGGATCCTGGCTTTGTCCCTATTGTTCTGTGCTCAAAATACATTTGATGAGGAGAAAAAAAAGAGAGAGAGAGAGAGAGAGATGAAGAGGAAGAAAGACACAGAAGAAATGGATTTCTCTTCTGCAGAATTTTTCTTCATTTCACTTTCCCCTACCTCAACCATTAGTCTTTTGAACACATGAAGTGCTTATTGTGTACCAAGCTCTGAGCTGAGTGAAGGACACTCAGGGACCAAACAGGCTGGGTCCTTGCCATTCAAGGCCACCAGTAGGGTGTGTGGCAGCATCAGTTTCCAAAGTGGCATGATTAGCATTTATCTGAAGCAGGCAACTGAAGAAGAAGGATTACTGAGCTAGGCATGTCTCCTTCCACCTGGCCTCTTGGTTGCTGGAAGAGCAGAAAGAAGCCGAGATCTTGAATCACATGTGTCATTGTAGCTTATGGGATCCTGTTTTGCTTCTAAGCATTATATTTTTTCATTCTTTTTTATGATAATCTATAGCATCAAGAATACACAATGAGGCTTTTTATATCATTTCCTTAAGGTGAAAGACTTGGCAAGACAGAACTTGTGCATAATGAGAATTATAAAATCCATGCCTGGGGCCTGGCACGGTAGCCTAGTGGCTAAAGTCCTCACCTTGCATGCACTGGGATCCCATATGACCACTGGTTCATGTCCTGGCAGCCCCACTTCCCATTCAGCTCGCTGCTTGTAGCCTAGGAAAGCATTCAAGGATGGCCCAAGACCTTGGGACCCTGTACCCATGTGGGAGACCTGGAAGCAGCTTTGGATTGGCAAAGCTCTGGCCAATCAGCTGCTTGGGGAATGAATCATCGGATGGAAGATCTTCCTCTCTGTCTCTCCTCCTCTCTGTATATATGACTTTCCAATTAAAAATAAAATAAAATAAATCTTAAAAAAAAAATGCCCAAACAACAATGCTTAAGGGGAAAGTCCAAGCCAATGGCATTTACAAGTCTTTTTAAACTGTACAGTTCTGTGGAGGTGTTAACCTTAGAAAACCATGTATAAGTCAACATAAAAATCAAAGCAATATATGAAAAACCCAATGCTAGTGTCATATTGAATGGGAAAAATTAGAAACCTTCCTGCTAAGATTTGGAACCATACAAGGATGTCTACTATCACCACTGCTATTTAACATAATACTGGAAATACTTGCAAATGCTATTAGACAAGAAAAAGAAACCGAAGGAATTCAAATGGGAAAGGAGGAAGTCAAGTTATCTGTGTTTGCAGATGACATGATTCTATCCATAGGATAACTAAGAGACTCAATAAAGAGATTGCTACAACTTATACAAGAGTTTGACAAAGTGGCAGGTACAAGATAAATGAAAAGAAATCAACTGCCATAGTGAACACAAACAACCCCAAGGCTGAAGAAGAACTAACCAGCATGGCGCCCTTCAAAATAACAGAGCAGAAAATGAAATATCTGGGAATAAACCTAACAAGGATGCGGAACATTAGGATAAGAAATAGAAGACTTCAGAAAGTGGAGAAACACACCTTGCTCCTGGATGGGCAGTGTCAACATCAACAAAATGCCCATATTACCAAAAGCAATATATACATTCAGTGCGATTCCAATCAAAATGCCAAAAACATTTTTCACAGAGGTGGAAACACAAAAAAAAAAACCACGAACAGCCAGAACTATCTAGAAGAATAAGAACCTAGTGGGAGGGATCACAATCCTAGATCTTCAGACATTATAGGACAGTAGTTATCAAAACAGCCTGATACTGGTACAGAAACAGAGGTAGATCAATGGAGTAGAATAGAAAATCCAGCAGGGAACCCATACATGCATAACTACCTAATCTTTGACAAGAATACAAAGAAACAATCCTGGAAAAAAGGAAGGTCTCTTTAATAGATGCTGATGGGACAACTGGCTCATAGCCTGTAGAAATAAGAAACAAGATGCACACCTTCCACCACACACAAAGATCAAATCTAAATGGATAAAAGATCTAAACTTACACCCAGAAACCATCAAACTTTTGGAAGAAAAAGTTGGAAATACTCTGCAAGATATAGGTGTAGGCACTGACTTCCCAGAAAAATCATCAAAAGCAAAGGAAGTCAAGACCAAAATAAACAAATGGGACTACATTAGGCTAAGAAGCTTCTGCACAGCAAAGGAAACAATCAACAAAGTAAAAAGGCAACCAACAGAATGGGAGAAGATCTTTGTACACTACACAGGAGACAAAGGGCTAATTTCCAGAAGATATAAAGAACTCCAGAACAATAACATCAAAACAGACAAACCAGTCAAGAAATGGGCATGGGAAATGGGCAGACACTTTACAAAGGAACAAATTCAAATGGCTAACAGACACATGAAAAAATGTTCAAGCTCTGGCAATAAGGGAAAATCAAATAAAAACAACACTGAGGTTCCACTTAGCGCCAGAAAGAATTGCCCACATATAGAAAACTACCAACACCACCTGCTGGCGAGGGTGCAGAGAAAAGGGAATGCATGTTGGTACAACAACTGTGGAAATCAGTATGGAGAACACGTTGGCAATTAAAAAGCTACCTACCATATGACCCAACAATACCACTGCTAGGAGTATATCCAAAAGAATTGTTACACAAGAAAGCAGCATGCACTCCAATGTTCACTGCAACACAATCAACAATTGCAAGAACATGGAAGCAATGTAAATGCCCATTAACAGAGGACTGGATTAAAAAAAAAAACTGTGGTTCATCTATACTA